CAAATTCAACACCTTACAACACATTTAGCACTTTACAACAAATTCAACACCTTACAACACATTCAGCACCCTTACAACAAATTCAACACCTTACAACACATTTAGCACTTTACAACACATTCAACACCTTACAACACATTTAGTACTTTAACACAAATTCAACACATTTAGCACTTTACAACAAATTCAACACTTTAGAACACATTTAGCACTTTACAACAACTTCAACACCGTACAACACATTTAGCAACTTTACAACAAATTCAACACCTTACAACACATTTAGAACTTTACAACAAATTCAACACCTTACAACAAATTCAAACACACCTTACAACACATTTAGCACTTTACAAAAAAAACACATTAACACCTTTAAACACATTTAGACACTTTACACAAATTCAACACATTTAGCACTTTACAACAAATTCAACACCTTACAACACATTTAGCACTTACAACAAAAATTCATCACCTTACAACACATTTAGCACTTTACATCACAAATTCAACACCTTACAACACATTTAGCACTTTACAACACATTCAACACCTTACAACACATTTAGCACTTTACAACAATTCAACACCTTACAACACATTTAGCACTTTACAACACATTCAACACCTTACAACACATTTAGCACTTTAACACAATTCAACACATTTAGCACTTTACAACAAATTCAACACTGTACAACACATTTAGCACTTTACAACAAATTCAACACCTTACAACACATTTAGCACTTTACAACAAATTCAACACCTTACAACAAATTCAACACCTTACAACACATTTAGGCACTTTCAACAAATTCAACCTTACAACAAATTCAAACACCTTACAACACATTTAGCACTTTACAACACATTCAACACCTTAAAACACATTTAGCACTTTAACACAAATTCAACACATTTAGCACTTTACAACAAATTCAACACCTTACAACACATTCAGCACCTTACAACAAATTCAACACCTTACAACACATTCAACACCTTACAACACATTTAGCACTTTACAACAATTCAACACCTTACAACACATTTAGCACTTTACAACACATTCAACACCTTACAACACATTTAGCACTTTACAACATTCAACCATTTGCACTTTACAACACATTCAACACTTTACAACACATTTCAGCACTTACAACACATTCAACACCTTACAACACATTTAGCACTTTACAACACATTCACCACCTTACAACACATTTAGCACTTTACAACACATTCAACACCTTACAACACATTTAGCACTTTACAACACATTCAACACCTTACAACACATTTAGCACTTTACAACACATTTAGCACCTTACAACACATTTAGCACTTTACAACACATTCAACACCTTACAACACATTTAGCACTTTACAACAAATTCAACACCTTACAACACATTTAGCACTTTACAACACAAATTCAACACCTTACAACACATTTAGCACTTTACAACACATTCAACACCTTTACAACACATTTAGCACTTTACAACATATTCAACACCTTACAACACATTTAGCACTTTACAACACATTCAACACCTTACAACACATTTAGCACTTTAACACAAATTCAACACATTTAGCACTTTACAACAAATTCAACACTGTACAACACATTTAGCACTTTACAACAAATTCAACACCGTACAACACATTTAGCACTTTACAACAAATTCAACACCTGTACAACAAATTCAACACCTTTACAACACATTTAGCACTTTACAACACATTTCAACACCTTACAACACATTCAACACCTTACAACACATTTAGCACTTTACAACACATTCACACCTTAAAACACATTTAGCACTTTAACACAAATTCAACACAATTTAGCACTTTACAACAAATTCAACACCTTACAACACATTTAGCACCTTACAACAAATTCAAACACCTTACAACACATTTAGCACTTTACAACAAATTCAAACACCTTACAACACATTCAGCACTCTTACAACAAATTCAACACCTTACAACACATTCAGCACTTTACAACACATTTCACCACCTTACAACACTATTTAGTAATTTAACACCTTACAACACATTTTGCACTTTACAACACATTTCAACACCTTAAAACACATTTAGCACTTTACACACAAATTCAACACATTTAGCACTTTACAACACATTCAACACCTTACAACACATTTAGCACCTTACAACATTTCAACACCTTACAACCACATTTAAGCACTTTGACACACATTCAACACCTCTACAACACATTCGCACCTTACAACACATTCAACACCTTACAACACATTTGGCACTTTACAACCACATTCAACACCTTACAACACATTTAGCACTTTAACACAATTCAACACATTTAGCACTTTACAACAAATTCAACACCTTACAACACATTTAGCACTTTACAACACATTCAACACCTTACAACACATTTAGCACTTTACAACATTTCAACACCTTACAACACATTTAGCACTTTACAACAACACCTACAACACCTTACAACAAATTCAACACCTTACAACACATTTAGCACTTTACAACACATTCAACACCTTACAACACATTTAGCACTTTAACACAAATTCACACATTTTAGCACTTTACAACAAATTCAACACTTAGAACACATTTAGCACTTTACAACAAATTCAACACCGTACAACAAATTTACAACACCTTACAACACATTTAGCACTTTACAACAAATTCAACACACCTTACAACAACACATTTAGCACTTTACAACACATTCAACACCTTCAAAACACCTTAACACAAATTCACATTTAGCACTTTACAACAAATTCAACACTAGAACACATTCAACACCTTACAACACATTTTAGCACTTTAACACAAATTTACATCACATTTAGGCACTTCAACACCAACACTTACAACACATTTAAGCACTTTACAACACAACATTCAACACATTTAAGCACTTTACAACACATTCTAACACCTTACAACACATTTCAACTTTAACACATTTAGCACTTTACAACAAATTCACACACACATTTAGCACTTTACAACAAATCCATTTAGCACTTTACAACAAATTCAACACCTTACAACAAATTCAACACCTTACAACACATTTAGCACTTTACAACAAATTCAACACCTTACAACAAATTCAACACCTTACAACACATTTAGCACTTTACAACACATTCAACACCTTAAAACACATTTAGCACTTTAACACAAATTCAACACATTTAGCACTTTACAACAAATTCAACACCTTACAACACATTTAGCACCTTACAACAAATTCAACACCTTACAACACATTTAGCACTTTACAACAAATTCAACACTTACAACACATTCAGCACCTTACACCAATTCAACACCTTACAACACATTTAGCCACTTTACAACACATTCAACACCTTACAACACATTTAGTACATTAACACAAAATTCAACAAATTTAGCACTTTACAACAAATTCAACACTTTAGAACACATTTAGCACTTTACAACAAATTCAACACCGTACAACACATTTAGCACTTTAAACAAATTCAACACCTACAACACATTTAGCACTTTACAACACATTCAACACCTTACAACAATTCAACGCACCTTACAACACATTTAGCACTTACAACACTTCCAAACACTTAAAACACATTTACACTTTAACAAAATTCAACACATTTAGCACTTTACAACAAATTCAACACCTTACAACACATTTAGCACTTACAACAAATTCATCACCTTACAACACATTTAGCACTTTAACACAGTATTCAACACCTTACAACACATTTAGCACCTTACAACAAATTCAACACCTTACAACACATTTAGCACTTTACAACACATTCAACACCTTACAACACATTTAGCACTTTACAACACATTCAACACCTTACAACACATTTAGCACTTTACAACAAATTCAACACCTTACAACACATTCAGCACCTTACAACAAATTCAACACCTTACAACACATTTAGCACTTTACAACAAATTCAACACCTTACAACACATTTAGCACTTTACAACACATTCAACACTTTACAACACATTTAGCACTTTACAACAAATTCAACACCTTACAACACATTTAGCACTTTACAACAAATTCAACACCTTACAACACATTTAGCACTTTAACACAAATTCAACACCTTACAACACATTCAGCACCTTACAACACATTCAACACCTTACAACACATTTAGCACTTTACAACACATTTAGCACTTTACAACAAATTCAACACCTTACAACACATGTAGCACTTTACAACACATTCAACACCTTACAACACATTTAGCACTTTACAACAAATTCAACACCTTACTACACATTTAGCACTTTACAACAAATTCAACACCTCACAACACATTCAGCACCTTACAACAAATTCAACACCTTACAACACATTTAGCACTTTACAACACATTCAACACCTTTACAACACATTTAGTACTTTACAACACAAATTCAACACATTTAGCACTTTACAACAAATTCAACACCTTACAACACATTTAGCACTTTACAACAAATTCAACACCTTACAACACATTTAGCACTTTACAACAAATTCAAACACCTTACAACACATTTAGCACTTTACAACACATTCAACACCTTACAACACATTCACACTTACACACATTTAGCACTTTACAACACATTCAACACCTTACAAACACATTTAGCACTTTACAAAAATTCATACCTTACAACACATTTAGCACTTTACAACAAATTCAACACCTTACAACACATTTAGCACTTTACAACACATTTAGCACTTTAATACACATTCAGCACTTTACAACACATTTAGCACTTTACAACACATTTAGCACCTTACAACACATTCAGCACTTTACAACACATTCAGCACTTTACAACACATTTAGCACTTTACAACACCTTACAACACATTCAGCACTTTACAACACTTTCAGCCCCTTACAACACATTCTTCTTACTTCATCTTCTTCACTTCTTCCTCTCTTCTTCCCCTTCTTCCTCTTCTTCCCCTTCTTCCTCTTCTTCCTCTTCTTCCCCTTCTTCCTCTTATTCCTCATCTTCCCCTTCTTCCTCTTCTTCCCCTTCTTCCCCTTCTTCCCCTTCTTCTTCTTCCTCCTCCTCTTCCTTCTTCTTCTTTCCTCTTCTTCCCTTTTCTTTCTTCTTCCTTCTTCTTCCCCTTCCTCTTCCTTCTTCATCCCTAACCCTTCCAACATCTATGCAGCCACTCACAATGGCTTCAGCCATTGTACCATTTCTAGTCTTCTTCTTCTTCTTCTTCTTCCACTTCCGCCAGATTTTGGCACTTTCAACTCTTCAACGCTTTCACCAAATTCAACAAATTACTACATCGTTACGACGGACCGGCTTCACCGTCCCCCCCCCCCCCCCCCCCCTCATTATTGCTATTACTTTTTACACTTCCACCTTTAGCACTTTTTCAGATATTAACAAAAAGTTCAAGCACTTTTTCCCATTGACTTACATTGGACCAGTACAACAGATTACTCCCCATACAACACATTACCACACTAACAATTCATTACCACAGATACAAAAAATTACATTACAGCATCTTAACAACACTTACAGAACCTTACAACACATTTAGCACTTTACAACAAATTCAACACCTTACAACACATTTAGCACTTTACAACAAATTCAACACCTTACAAACACATCTAGCACTTTACAACAAATTCAACACCTTACAACACATTTAGCACTTTACAACAAATTCTACACCTTACAACACATTTAGCACTTTATCAACACATTCAACACCTTACAACACATTTAACACTTTACAGCAAATTCAACACCTTACAACACATTTAGCACTTTACAACACATTCAACACCTTACAACACATTTAGCACTTTAACACAAATTCAACACATTTAGCACTTTACAACAAATTCAACACCTTACAACACATTTAGCACTTTACAACAAATTCAACACCTTACAACACATTTAGCACTTTAACACAAATTTCAACACCTTACAACACATTTAGCACTTTAACACAAATTCAACACCTTACAACACATTTAGCACTTTAACACGAATTCAACACTTTACAACACATTTAGCACTTTACAACACATTCAACACCTTACAACACATTTAGCACTTTACAACACATTCAACACTTTACAACACATTTAGCACTTTACAACACATTCAACACTTTACAACACATTCAGCACTTTACAACACATTCAACACCTTAACAACACATTTAGCACCTTACAACAAATTCAACACCTTACAACACATTTAGCACTTTACAACACATTCAACACCTTATAACACATTTAGCACCTTGCAACAATTCAACACCTTACAACACATCTAGCACTTTACAACAAATTCAACACTTACAACACATTTAGCACTTTACAACAAATTCAGCACTTTACAACACATTCAGCACTTTACAACACATTCAACACCTTACAACACATTTAGCACTTTACAACACATTCAACACCTTACAACACATTTAGCACTTTACAACAAATTCAACACCTTACAACACATTTAGCACTTTACAACACATTCAGCACTTTACAACACATTCAGCACTTTACAACACATTTAGCACTTTACAACAAATTCAACACCTTACAACACATTTAGCACTTTACAAACACTTTCAGCCCCCTTACAACACATTCTTCTTACTTCATCTTCTTCCCCTTCTTTATCTTCTTTCTCTTCTTCCCCTTCTTCCTCTTCTTCCCTTCTTCCTCTTCTTCCCCTTCTTCTTCTTCTTCCCCTTCTTCCCCCCAGCCTTCTTCTCCCCCTTCTTCCTCTTCTTCCCCTTCTTCTCCTCCTCCCCTTCCGTTCTTCTTTCCTCTTCTTCCCTTTTGTTTCTTCTTCTTTCTTCTTCCCCTTCCTCTTCCTTCTTCATCCCTAACCCTTCCAACATCTATGCAGCACTCACAATGGCTTCAGCCATTGTACCATTTCTAAGTTGAGTGGCTGCATAGACTATGCACCACTATATGCTCTCCTACTGTTTATTCTTCTCTTCTTCTTCTTCTTCTTCTTACACTTCCGCCAGATTTTGGCACTTTTCAACTCTTCAACGCTTTCACCAAATTCAACAAATTATACATCGTTACGACCGGCTTCACCGTCTCATTATTGCTATTACTTTTCACACTTCCACCTTTAGCACTTTTTCAGATATTAACAAAAGTTCAAGCACTTTTTCCCATAGACTTACATTGGACCAGTACAACAGATTACTCCCATACAACACATTACCACACTAACAATTCATCACCCACAGATACAATACATTACAACATCTTACAACACTTACAGCACCTTACAACACATTTAGCACCTTACAACAAATTCAACACCTTACAACACATTTAGCACTTTACAACAAATTCAACACATTTAGCACTTTACAACACATTCAACACCTTACAACACATTTAGCACTTTACAACACATTCAACACCTTACAACACATTTAGCACTTTAACACAAATTCAACACATTTAGCACTTTACAACAAATTCAACACCTTACAACACATTTAGCACTTTACACGACAAATTCAACACCTTAAACACATTTAGCACTTTACAACAAATTCAACACCTTACAACACATTTAGCACTTTACAACAAATTCAACACCTTACAACACATTTAGCACTTTAAAAACAAATTCAACACCTTACAACACATTTAGAACTTTACAACACAAATTAAACACATTTAGCACTTTACAACACATTCAACACCTTTAAAACACATTTAGCACTTTACAACAAATTCAACACCTTACAACACATTCAGCACTTACACACACATTTTAGCACTTACAACACATTTAGCACTTTACAACACTTACAGCACCTTATGACAACATATACAGCTCTTTCAACACCTTCCCAACACATTCATCATCCCTCACAACACATTACAGCACTTTACAACACTATTCAGAAACTTTACAACACATTATTCTTTACTTCATCTTCTTCACTACTTCTTCCCCTTCTTCCTCTTCTTCCTCTTCTTCCCCTTCTTCCCCTTCTTCCTCTTCTTCTTCCCCTTCTTCCCCTTCTTCTTCTTATTCTTCCCCTTCTTCCCCTTCTTCTTCTTTTCCTCCTCTTCCCCTTTCTTTCTTAATTCTTCTTCTTCTTCCTTCTTCTTCCCCTTCCTCTTCCTTCTTCATCTCTAACCCTTCCAACATCTATGCAGCCACTCACAAATGGCTTCAGCCATTGTACCATTTCTAGTTCTTCTTCTTCTTCTTCTTCTTCCACTTCCGCCAGATTTTGGCACTTTCAACTCTTCAACGCTTTCACCAAATTCAACAAATTATACATCGTTACGACCGGCTTCACCGTCTCATTATTGCTATTACTTTTCACACTTCCACCTTTAGCACTTTTTCAGCTATTAACAAAAGTTCAAGCACTTTTTCCCATTGACTTACATTGGACCAGTACAACAGATTACTCCCCATACAACACATTACCACACTAACAATTCATCACCACAGATACAATACATTAACAACATCTTACAACACATATTGCACCTTACAACACATTTAGCACTTTACAACAAATTCAACACCTTACAACACATTTAGCACTTTACAACAAATTCAACACCTTACAACACATTTAGCACTTTACAACAAATTCAACACCTTACAACACATTTAGCACTTTACAACACATTCAACACCTTACAACACATTTAGCACTTTACAGCAAATTCAACACCTTACAACACATTTAGCACTTTACAACAAATTCAACACCTTACAACACATTTAGCACTTTACAACAAATTCAACACCTTACAACACATTCAGCACTTGTACAACAAATTCAACACCTTACAACACATTTAGCACTTTACAACAAATTCAACACCTTACAACACATTCAACCTTACAACAAATTCAACACCTTACAACACATTTAGCACTTTACAACACATTCAACACCTTACAACACATTTAACACTTTACACAAATTCAACACCTTACAACACATTTAGCACTTTAACAAAAATTCAACACCTTACAACACATTCAGCACTTTACAACAAATTCAGCACTTTACAACAAATTCAACACCTTACAACACATTTAGCACTTTACAACAAATTCAACACCTTACAACACATTTAGCACTTTACAACAAATTCAACACCTTACAACACATTTAGCACTTTACAACACATTCAACACCTTACAACACATTTAGCACCTTACAACAAATTCAACACCTTACAACACATTTAGCACTTTACAACACATTCAACACCTTACAACACATTTAGCACTTTACAACAAATTCAACACCTTACAACACATTTAGCACCCTACAACACATTTAGCACCTTACAACACATTTAGCACCTTACAAAACAAATTCAACACCTTACAACACATTTAGCACTTTACAACAAATTAAACACCTTACAACACATTCAGCACCTTACAACACATTTAGCACTTTACAACAAATTCAACACCTTACAACACATTTAGCACTTTACAACACATTTAGCACTTTACAACACATTTAGCACTTTACAACACATTCAGCACTTTACAACACATTTAGCACTTTACAACACATTCAACACATTACAACACATTTAGCACTTTACAACACATTTAGCACTTTACAACACATTTAGCACTTTACAACACATTCAGCACTTTACAACACATTTAGCACTTTACAACACTTTTAGCACTTTACAACACTTTCAGCCCCTTACAACACATTCTTCTTACTTCCTCTTCTTCCCCTTCTTCCTCTTCTTCCTCTTCTTCTTCTTCCTCTTCTTCCCCTTCTTTCTCTTCTTCCTCTTCTTCCTCTTCTTCCCCTTCTTCCTCTTCTTCCCCTTCTTCCTCTTCTTCCCCTTCTTCTTCCCCTTCTTCTTCTTCCTTCCTCCTCTTTCCTTCTTCTTCTTTCCTCTTCTTCCCTTTTCTTTCTTCTTCCTTCTTCTTCCCTTCCTCTTCCTTCTTCATCCCTAACCCTTCCAACATCTATGCAGCCACTCACAATGGCTTCAGCCATTGTACATTTCTAGTTTGAGTGGCTGCATAGACTATGCAGCCATAATGCTATTCATTACTTCTTCTTCTTCTTCTTTCTTCTTCTTTCTTCTTCCACTTCCGCCAGATTTTGGCACTTTTCAACTCTTCAACGCTTTCACCAAATTCAACAAATTATACATCGTTACGACCGGCTTTCACCGTCTCATTATTGCTATTACTTTTCACACTTCCACCTTTAGCACTTTTTCAGATATTAACAAAAGTTCAAGCACTTTTTCCATTGACTTACATTGGACCAGTACAACAGATTACTTCCCATACAACACATTACCACACTACAATTCATTACCACAGATAACAATACATTACAGCATCTTACAAAACTTGCAGCACCTTACAACACATTTAGCACTTTACAACAAATTCAACACCTTACAACACATTTAGCACTTTACAACACATTCAACACCTTACAACACATTTAGCACCTTACAACAAATTCAACACCTTACAACACATTCAGCACCTTACAACAAATTCAACACCTTACAACACATTTAGCACTTTATAACACATTCAACACCTTACAACACATTTAGCACTTTACAACAAATTCTACACCTTACAACACTTATAGCACCTTACAACACATTTAGCACCTTACAACAAATTCAACACCTTACAACATATTTAGCACCTTACAACAAATTCAACACCTTACAACACATTTAGCACTTTACAACAAATTCAACACCTTACAACACATTTAGCACTTTACAACAAATTCAACACCTTACAACACATTTAGCACCTTACAACAAATTCAACACCTTACAACACATTTAGCACTTTACAACACATTCAACAACTTAAAACACATTTAGCACTTTACAACAAATTCAACACCTTACAACACATTTAGCACTTTACAACACATTCAACACCTTACAACACATTTAGCACTTTACAACAAATTCAACACCTTACAACACATTTAGCACTTTACACCACATTCAACACCTTACAACACATTTAGCACTTTACAACAAATTCAACACCTTACAACAAATTTAGCACTTTACAACAAATTCAAAACCTTACAACACATTTAGCACTTTACAACAAATTCAACACCTTACAACACATTTAGCAATTCTTTACAACACATTCAACACCTTACAAAACATTTATTCAATACCTTACAACACATTTAGCACTTTACAACAAATTCAACACCTTACAACACATTTAGCACTTTACAACACATTTAGCACTTGACATACACATTCAGCACTTTACAACACATTTAGCACCTTTACAACACATTCAGCACCTTACAACACATTCAGCACTTTACAACACATTCAGCACTTTACAACACATTTAGCACTTTACAACACCTTACAACACATTCAGCACTTTACAACACTTTCAGCCCCTTACAACACATTCTTCTTACTTCATCTTCTTCACTTCTTCCTCTTCTTCCCCTTCTTCCTCTTCTTCCCCTTCTTCCTCTTCTTCCCCTTCTTCCCCTTCTTCCTCTTCTTCCTCATCTTCCCCTTCTTCCTCTTCTTCCCCTTCTTCCCCTTCTTCTTCTTCTTCCCCTTCTTCCCCTTCTTCTTCTTCCTCCTCCTCTTCCTTCTTCTTCTTTCCTCTTCTTCCTTTTCTTTCTTCTTCCTTCTTCTTCCATTACAAAATATTCAACACCTTACAAACATTTAGCACTGTTACAAACACATTCAAACACCTTACAAACACATTTTCCACTTTAACACAAATTCAACAACCGTTTCAACCTCCCTGTAGCACTTTAACACAAATTACACACCTTACAAAACACATTTTGCACTTTACAAAAATTCAACACCTTACAACACATTTTAGCACTTGTACAACACATTCAACACCGACACCACATTTAGCACTGTAACACAATTCAAACACTTACAACACATTTAGACTGTTAACACAAATTCAACACCTTACCAACACATTTATGCACTTTAACACAAATTAAACACCGTACTAAACACATTTAGCACTTTTACAACAAATTTCGCACTTTACAACACATTCAGATTTTACAACACATTTAGCACTTTACAACACATTAAGCACACTTTACATACAAGTCAGCACTTTACATAACACATTTAGGCACTATACAACACATTAAGCACGTTACAGCATTCGCACTTTACAACACATTTAGCACCTACAACACATTTAGCACTTTACAACCAAATTCCACACCTTACAACACATTTAGCACTTTACAACAAATTCAACACTTACAAACATTTAGCACTTACAACAAATTCAACCTTTACAACACATTTCGCACCTTACAACAAATTCAACACCTTTACGAAACAAATTTAGCACTTTACCACTCATTCAACAACTTAAAACACTTGAGCACTTTACAACACTTTCAAACCTTACAACACATTTAGGCACTTTATACACATTCAACACCCTTACAACACATTTAGCACTATACAACATAATTTACACTTACAACACTTATAGCACCTTACAACACATTAGCACTTACAACAAATTCAAACACTTCAAAGTATTTAGCCACCTTACAACAAATTCAACACCTTACAAGAACATTAGCACCTTACAAATAAATTCAACTCCTTACAACACATTTGCACTTTACAACAAATTCAACACCTTACAACACATTTAGCACCTTACAACAAATTCAACACCTTACAACACTGTTAGCACTTACAACACATTCAACACCTTACAACCACATTTAACACTTTAACACAAATTCAAACATCATTACAAACATTTAGACTTTACAACAAATTAAAACAGCTAAAACACAGTTGAACACTTAACACAAATTCAAACACAATTACAACACATTTAAGCACTTTACAACAAAGTCAACAGGCTTACAACACATTTCGCACTTTCAACACATTCAACACCTTACAAACACCATTTAGCACTTTACCAAACATTCAATAACTTACAACACATTTAGCACTTTACAACTAATTTCAACCCCTTTCAACACATTTAGCACATTACACACATTCAACTCTTACAACACATTTAGCACTTTTGCCACAATTCAAAACCTTACAACAATTTAGCACTTTACAAACAAATTCAAACACTTTACAACACATTTAGCACTTTCCAAACAAATTCAACACCTTCCAACACATTTAGCACTTTACACAAATTCAAACACATTCTAGCACTTTACACCACATTTCAACACTTACAACAAATTCAACACTTTACATCACATTTAGCACTTTAAACATATTAAGCACTTTACAAACAATTCAGCACTTTACAAACAATCAGCCTTTACAACACATTTAGACTTTTACTACCACCTTACAACACATTCAGCACTTTACAACCACTTTCAGCCCCTTACAAACATTCTTCTTACTTCATCTTATTCACTTCTTCCTCTTCTTCCCCTTCTTCCTCTTCTTCCTCTTCCTTCCTCTTCTTCCCCTTCTTCCTTCTTCTTTCCCTTCTTCCTTTCTTCCCCTTCTTCCTCTTCTCCTCTTCTTCCTCTTCTTCCCCTTTCTTCCTCTTCTTCCTCTTCTTCCCTTCTCCTCTTCTTCCCTTCTTCTTCTTCCTCCTCCTCTTCCTTCTTCTTCTTTCCTTTCTTCCTTTTCTTTCTTCCTTCCTTCTTCCCCTTCCTCTTCCTTCTTCATCCTAACCCTTCCAACATCTATGCAGCCATCACAATGGCTTCAGGCCATGGTTACCATTTTAGTTGTGTGGCTGCATATTCTATGCAGCCACTCTATGCTCTCCTACGTTTATTCTTCTTCTTCTTCTTCCTTCTTCCACTTCCGCCAGATTTTGGCACTTTGCAACTCTTCAACGCTGTTCACCAAATTCAACCATATAATTACATTGTTACGACCGGCTTCACCGTCTCATTAATTGCTATTAAATTTTACACTTCCCCTTTAAGCACTTTTTCAGATATTTACAAAAGTTCAACGCACTTTTTCCCAACATTACATTGGACCTGTACAACAGATTTACTCCCCTTACCAACACATTACCTCACTAACAATTCATCACCACAGTTCACATACATTTACAACATCTTACTACACTTTCGCACCTTACAACACATTTAGCACTTTTACAACACATTAATACTCCTTTACTAACATTTAGCATTTTCAACAAATTCAACACCTTACACAACAATTAGCACTTTTACAACACATTCAACACCTTACCACACAATTTAGCTCTTTAAACCAAATTCAACACTTACAACACATTTAGCACTTTACACAAATTCAACACCTTACAACACTTTATCACTTTAACGCAAATTCAACACCGTACAAAACATTTAGCACTTTACAACCTAATTTCAAAACCCTTACAACACATTTAGCACCTTTCAAAACAAAATTTAACACCTTACAACACATTTGCACTTTACAACAAATTCTAAACACCTTTACAACAGATATAGCACTTTTAACCACAAATTTCAACATCTTACAACAATTTAGCACTTAACCAAAAATTCAACACTTACAACACATGTAGCACTTTAACACAAATTCAAAACCTTACAAAACATTTAGCACTTTACAACACATTCAACACGTACAACACATTTAGCACCTTCAACAAATTCAACACCTTACAACACATTAGCAAAAAACTTTACAACAAATTCAACACTTACAACACATTTAGCACTTTACAACACATCAACACCTAAAACACATTTAGCAACTTACAACAAAGTCAACACTTACAAGGACATTTAGACTTTACAAACAAACTTCAACACTTACAACACATTTAGCACGTTACAACAAATTCAACACCTTACAACACTTTAGCACTTTACACAAATTCAACATCTTACTAACACATTTAGCACTTACACACATCAACACTTACAACACATTTAGCACTTTACAAACAAATTCAACACCTTAACAAACACATTAAGCACACTTACAACAATATTCAACACCTTACAATCACATTTAGCACTTTACAACAAATTCAACATCTTACAACACATTTAGCAACTTACAACACATTCAACTTCCTTACAACACATTTAGCACTTTACAACACATTCAACACCTTAAAACACATTAAGCACCTTACGTCAAACTTCAAACATCTTTACAACACATTTAGCACTTTACAACACATTCAACACCTTAACAACAACATTTAGACCTTACAACAAATTCAAACACTTTACAACCGTTAACACTTTTCGCCCGTTACCCAAACACATTCTTTAATTTCATCTTCTTCATTCTTCCCTTCTTCCTCTTCTTCCTTTCTTCCCTTTTCCCTTCTTCCTCTCTTCACCTTCATCTCTTCTTCCCCTTCTTCCTTCTTTCTTCCCTGCTTCCTCTTCTTCCCTTTTTCCCTTCTTCCTCTTCTTCTTGCCCCTTCTTCTTCTTTCCTCTTCTTCCCTTTTCTATCTTCTTATTTCCTTCTTCTTCCCCTCCTCTTCCTTCTTCACCCATAAACCCTTCAACATCTATGCAGCACTCACAATGGCTACAGCCATTGTTACCATTTATAGTTGAGTGGCTGGCATAGACTATGAGCCCACCTACTATGCTCTCCTACTGTTTATTCTTCTTCTTCTTTTCTTCTTCTTCTTCTTCTTCTTTCTTTTCTTCTGCTTCTTCTTCCACTTTTTTTTTACGCCCAGTTTTGGCACTTTTCAACTCCTCAACGCTTGCCCAAATTCATACAAATTATACCTCGTACGACCGGCTTTCACCGGTCTCATTATTGCCTATTACTTTTTAAAACTTCACCTTTAGCACTTTTTCAAATATTAACAAACGTTCAAGACTTTTATCCATTGACTTACATTGGACCAGTACAAACAGATTACTCCCCATAACAACACATTACCACACTTAACAATTCAATTACACAGATACAAAACATTTCAGCATCTTACAAAACTTGCAGCCCCCCCCCCACCTTACAACACATTTAGCACTTTACAACAAATTCAACATCCTTACTAAAACAGTTAGCACTTTACATCACATTCAAACACCTACAACACATTTAGCACCTGACTACAAAGTTCATACACTTACAACAATTTCCGCCACCTTACAACGAAATCATCAACCTTACAACACATTTAGCACTGTATAACACATTCAATCACCTTAACAACACATTTAGCACTTTACAAACAAATTCTACACCTTACAACACTTATTGCACCTTACACACAGTTAGCAACCCTTACAACTAATTCAAACCTTACAACATATTAGCACCTAAACAAATTTCAACACCTTACAACACATTTAGCACTTTACAACATAATTCAACACCTTACAAACACATTTAGCACTTTACAACAATTCACACCTTACAACACCATTTGACCTTACAACTATCATCACCTAACAACTCATTTTGCCTCTTTACAAACATTCAACAACTTAAAACACATTTAGCACCTTCCAAACACATTTCAACACCTTACAAACACATTTTGCACTTTACACTACAAATTCAACACCTTACAACACATTTAGCATCTTTACAACAAAATTCCAACACCTTACAACCATTTAGACTTTAACACAATTAACACCTTACAACACATTTAGCACTTAACACAAATTCAACACCTACAACAATTTTAG